TTATTATTATTATTATTATAATTATTATTATTATAGATTATTCTTCTTACTATTATAATGATTGTTATTATTATTATAATTATGATTATTATATTTATCATTATAATTATTCTTATATTATTATAACTATTATTATTATTTATTATAATTATTCTAATATCTAATTATTAATCATTATCATTATTATTATCTTATTATAATTATTAATTATCAGTATAACTATTGTTGTTGTTATATATTTAATTATTATATTATTATTATAAAAAATTACTATTATTATTATTATAATTCTTATTATTTAAAATACTTTCTTCTTATTATAATTAGTATTATTATTATTATTTAATTATTATTCTTATAATTATGATAATTATTATTCTGATCATTATAATATTATTATAATTATTCGTATTATATTATAATTATTATATCATTATTATTGTTATTATTATCTTATTATTATTATAAATTACTCTGGACAAGTGTCAACCTGCGTCTGATCTGTCAAACTCCTAGGAGTTAAACTGGATACGGCACTTACTTGGTCACCGCACATTGATCTCGTCTGTTCCAGGTTATCCACGCAAATCTTTGCAATTCGACGGATGAGTGAATATTTGGATAAACGTAATCTAAAAACAGTTTACTTCAGCCTAATCCACAGTCAGTTGTCGTACGGTGCCCTCCTTTGGGGGAACGCTTCTGGATCTTTCAGAGCGTTCACACTCCAAAAGGCAGCTGTTCGCATAATTGATGGTTCGAAATACGGCACACCATGCCAACCACTTTTTAGAAAACATCGAATTTTACCACTACCAAGTATTTTTATATATGAAACGCTTTTACATATTCATAAAAACCTCCATAAATATGTAACGCATTCCGATGTTCATGATCATGATACCAGGTCAGCAAATAACCTCAGAGTTCCCTTTTCTAGATTACGTTTATCCAAGTTGAACAAGCCGGATGTCACATTATACAATTTATTTGTGAACTGTTATGCAGAACATGATGTGAAAAATTTGAATATCAACAAATTCAATAGACTATTGAAGAACTTTCTCATAGACAAGTGTTTTTACAGTGTCGATGATTAATTAATTATGTAACTATATTTAAAATACAAAAATCTGTGACTTCAAATGTACAATAATGTATGTAATGTATTCAATAGACTAAACTAAACTAAAGTATTATTATTATTATAATTTAATAATTATTATTATTATTCTAATAACTATTATTAACATTATTATTATTATTATTAATTACTATTATTATTATAAATTATAGTTATTCTTCTTATTATTATTATAATGATTGTTATTATTATTTATTATTATTAAAATTACTATTATAATTATTATTATTATTATTAGTATTATTATAATTATTATAATTATTATCATTATAATTATTATTATAATTATTCTTGTTATTATATTATTATAATTATAATATTAATTATTATTATTAATAACATTATTATTAGTAGTATTATTATTATTATATTAGTATTATTATTATTATTATATTATTATATTATATTATTATATAATTACTATTATTATTATTATATAATTATTACAGTTATTATTATTATGATGATACTATTATTATTATTATTTTATTATACTATAATTATTATTATGATTATATAATAATTATTATTATTATTATTATTATTATTATTAAAATTACTATTATAATTATTATTATTATAATTATGATAATTATTATTATTATTATTATCATTATAATTATCATTATTATTATTATAATTACTATTATTATAAATTACAATTATTATATTATTATTATAATTAGTATTATTATTATAATTATTATTATTATAATTATTATTATTCTTATTATTATTATAATTACTATATATTATTATTATTATAATTATTACAGTTATTATTATTATAATTACTATTATTATTATAATTACAATTATTATTACTATTATTATAATTAGTATTACTATTATAATTATTATTATTATTATAATTATAATTATTATTATTATTATAATTATTATTATTATATTATTATAATTACTTATTATTAATTATTATTATTAATATTATATTAAAATTACTATATACTTATTATTATTATTATAATTACTATTATTATTATAATTATTATTATATTATTCATTATTATTATTATTATTATATATTATTATTATTGTCATTATTATTATAATTATTATTATTATTATTATTATAATTACTATTATTATTATTATTATATTTTCCTGAGTTTTCACAGCTTAAAGCTGTAGTATTTGGGCCACCTCGAATGATGTTTATAGATGGTGGCTCTGGGTGGGAATGAAATTCATCATGAACCGCCCTCAATTTCCTATATCGATAAAAACTTAATGTAATCCGCCAAGCATCGAGGATCACTGCCGTCTTCAGTTGTATACATGTACCCTTTGGAAGGTCAAGACTTCCAAATTCTCCGACAAGGCGTTCGTGGCCACCCCTTCCACTGATATGATGATGGGGATAATCATTACTTCTTTTAACTTCCACATCCGTGCTAATTCTATTTTGAGGTCTTGATATTTGGAGCATTTCTCAGTTTTCACGGACTTGAGATTATGCGTAAGTGGAACCGCAATATCGATTATGATTCCCATTTGTTTCTGTTTGTCTATAAGGACTAAATCAGGTCGATTATGCTCTATGCGCCTATCAGTGGTTATTGGGCGGTCCCAATACATCAATAGGTTCTGATTTTCTAGAACGGACACAGGGTGATATTTGTAGTAAGGCACCTTTGCTTTTATTAGACCTTCTTTGTGTGCGATTAGCTGGTGTATTATTGCGGCTACTTTGTTGTGTCTGCCTAAGTATGCATCTTTGGCCACGTTAGGGCATGCTCCTGTGACATGTTCGATTGTTTCGCCTACTGTATCGCACTTACGGCACTTATCAGTGATAGGGTTCTTCAATATATGCTTGTCATAATTTCGTGTGCGGATAACCTTATCCTGTATAGCACAGATAAACCCTTCAGTCTCTGGGTGTAAGAAGCCACGCTGGAGAAACGAGAACGATGTTTTTTTTGTCAATACCAACTTTCTCCATTTGAGACGGATACCTGCCATGCAATTGTTTGTTCTTCCAAGATTGCAACCTTTCTCTTGTTGCATTGCATCTGGATGGCTGTTGCAACTGTGACATATACAGGGGAGTTGCGTTGCAATCTGCCTCTTTGATTAGTTGTACTAGAGCGCTATTTTGGTTTAAGAAATACTCCCGAAGATGCATGATTTGTGTGTTGCACATCTGGGATACGTTGATTAGTCCTCTGCCGCCTTCATTGCGGAGCAGGTAGAGCCGCTCCACAGCAGAGTTAGGATGAAGCATACGAAACTTTGTCATGGACCTCCTTGTTAGCCTGTCCAGTTCTTCCAGATCGGTGTTGCTCCATTTAACGACACCAAAAGAATAAATTAGGGCTGGGACTGCCCATGCATTAATGGCTGATATTATATTTTTGGAATTTAGCTTGGTGTTTAGCAGTTTTACAAAGCGTTTTCTATATTTTTCTGTTAAGTCCTTTTTGATTTCGCTGTGTTTTAGTCCCAGTTGCTGTTTGAGCTCTAAGTATTTATACGAATCGCCTTCATCAAATTCCTCGATGTCATTTATTATCTCGCCCATATTAATGATGCGTCCTTTGCTGGCATTAACAGTTGCGCACTTTTCTAAACCGAATTCCATGCATATGCTGTTACTAAACAATTTAACGGTGGTAATCAACGAAGTTAGCTGCTGCTTTGATTCTGCGAGAAGTTTCATGTCATCCATGTAAAACATATGGTTAATTCTGACTGCACTATTCTTCTTAATTCTGTATCCCACGTTGCTGTTGTCGAGTAGCGTCGAGAGGGGGTTTAAGGCTAAACAAAATTACTATATATATATATATATATATAATTATTATAATTATTATTATTATTATTATTATAATTACTATTATTATTATTATAATTATTATTATTATTATGTGTGTGTCATGGCGCCGTTCGGGGTAGACGTATTTTCCAGTGCTCTGACTTGTTACGTGTAAATAACAGTAAATAGTGTTCAATATTGAATCCTTCGTCAGGATATGTGTTGTTGATAGCTCTGTTGAGTTGTTGTGCATTATATCCTGACAATATATACCAGTATTGCAGCTAGATTTGAAATTAGCCGTCCAGTGTGGTGTTTGTTTACGTTATACGTCCTGATATAACTCCTGATGTCTGACAGCTATGGAGGACAATACTAGCTCCGGATGTATTAGATGCTCAAACGAGGTAAAATCTAAAGGTGTCCAGTGTTCTAAGTGTGGAAAGATATCTCACAAAAGTTGTTTGGACCATTTGATTAAAAATCGTCATCCAATTGAGATAATTGATAGCAATACCTGCATCTGTTGTGCACCTCATGCACCAAAACTAAACAGTCCCACACCTGCTGCCACCATGAGTAATACCATGAATGACACAGATAACACCCTCGCACCTAATCCAGGAGATGGAAACCTCCCCGTTATACAACATATAATTAACAACAAAGACGTCTTGATCGAACAACAATCCTTTACCATTCAGCAACAAAATGTTTTATTCCAACAACAAAATACCATCATAGCAGCACTCAAGGATCAGTTATTGTTCGTCAAACAGTTCGACCTCGAGTGTTGAACCAGTGGCGGTACCACCAGTTTTACTTGGCTCCCGGGATAATGGTGCAAGGGTTGAGAACAAGGCTCAGCAAGCCCCTACACAGGAGCACGACGACTTTCAGATGCAACGCTCCGAGCGCAGGAGGATTTGCAGGAAGAGTCTACTGGTTGGCAGTGCATCGGACTCAGGCTGTCCCTTTAAAGCTTCTAACCCACCAGTGCGAAACAGAACCTACCATTTGTCTAGAATGGACCCCAATACAAGTGTTGCTGAGCTTTCCAACTATATAAAGCACTACGCACCATCAGCTTTGGTAGAACCATTAAGTGTAAAACACCCTACACACTATTCCTCATTTAAGGTGATTGTAGCGAGTACGAGGCAGGTGCAATTCTCAGAGGCATATGTCCTTCTGGGGCAATAATTAATCGCTTCTTTCATCAAGCCAACCACAGCAACACCAGAGAATCAGCCTCCAAGTAGTGTTGTTCAGTGTAGTGCAAAATACTCGATTGTTCACTTAAATATCCAAGGTCTAGCTAATAAGATAGATGAACTAAATATCTTCTTACAGAACCAAATATGCGACTTCCTTTGCATCTCAGAACACTGGCTAAAGCATGAACAGCTTGTTGCAACTGAAAATTAACAATTTCTCACTTGCGTCCTCATACTGCTGCCAGAATAGACAGCATGGGGGTGTTGCGATTCTCACCCGTAATGGTATACTTGCGAAGCAGGTTGATCTAACTGCATTTGTTCAACCTTTTCATGCTGAGCTTTGTGGAATAGCTATAGGGAATACTATAATTGTCACTGCTTATAGGTCATCTACAACTGGAGATCTTACAGTTTTTATTGAATCCCTCGATACAATGTTACATATGCTTGTTAATAGGTATAAGAACTTTATTATAATTGGAGACATTAATATAGATGTAAGTCTGGAAACTTCTGATACCAAGGAGTTACGATGTATGCTAAACACATTTGGGTTCCGCCACTGTATCACATACATGACGAGAATTACGGAAACTAAGCGATCTTGCCTGGACAATGTCCTTACAAATATTGATCCAGACACGATGGCATGTGGTACCTGTGATCCGGGCATGTCTGACCACAAAGGGGTGTACATGGTAATGTACGACGCTCAGAATTTTACTTCTGGGGCACCATCTGTGCTAAGGCGTATTCTATCTAATGATCGTATTTTGTCTTTTGTTAACCACGTATGTAAATCGCCTCTGCGCATCCTTTCACATTCTTCCGCTACTGACGCAGTGGATGCGTTTCTTCATCAAATAAACATTTTGTAGAGGACTGTTTTCCACTCAAAAAAATTCAAAAAAGAACTTCTCCAGTTAACTGGTATAACGACAGGCTGCGTCAGATGCGAAATAATATGATTGAGCTTAAAACAACATTTAATGCTACTAGAGACGTTAAGATCTGGGAAGACTTCAAACTGAGTCGGAACACTTATAGGAAAACTATTAAGGAGGAAAACAGGAATTTTTACGCAAACATAATTGAAAACTCACATAATAGAAATAAATCTATTTGGAAAGTTGTCAATGCCGAGAATAAAAACAAAACATCTACTAAAACTAATTTGAATTCTGAAGAGTTGAACATCTTCACATCTGTAGCTAGCAAAATACTAAATTAATTGCCTGTATGTAATTATGGTGCAGAGAATTACTTAAAAAATGTAACCAAGCCACATTTTTCATTTTTTATTAGTCCAATACTTCCTCAAGATGTCAGGAAGGCAATCTTACTCCTAAAAGATTCATATTCTTTGGATCATTACGGCCTAAACAGCGCTATCTTGAAGAGTTGTGTCGATATTTTAACCGAACCGCTATCTGTTCTGTACAGTAAATGTATACAGGAGGGTGCTTGGCCAGACGCTTTAAAAATATCGAAAGTAATACCAGTCTACAAAAAAGGAGATAGGGACTCCCCTGACAATTATAGGCCAATTGCAATCATCCCTATTATTGTAAAAATTTTTGAGATCCTGTTGAAACAAAAGCTCACCTCTTATTGTGAAAAAAATCAATACTTTCTGTCTCTCAATTTGGATTTCGGAAAAACTCCACAACCATCACAGCATTACTTCACTTGCTTGATGAATTATTGGACAATATTGACAACCACATAGGTACTATGGCTGCCATTTGCGATTTAACAAAAGCGTTTGACTGCGTTAATACGCAGATACTTCTTCAAAAACTTGAATTCTGCGGTATGAGAGGTAATGAGCTAGCCCTTTTCCAATCCTATCTCACAAATAGGAGGCAGTACGTCAGTATCGACGGCATTAACTCTGGAGTGCTGGAGATAAGAAATGGTGTACCTCAGGGCTCTGTACTAGGCCCATTACTGTTTCTTATTTACATCAACGATCTGCCTCAGAATATTGTCAACGGCTCATGCATTCTGTTCGCTGACGATACTACACTGCTCGCCCGTTCAGATCTGTGTTCTGTTGTGGAAAGCTTGGAACAGGCTAAAGGTTGGATCCTTGCTAATAAATTATCTCTTAATGAAAGCAAAACCCACCATATCACTTTTTCATCTAATAGGTGGGTATCGAAGTCGGCACCAGTGAAGCTATTGGGGATGGTTTTAGATACCAGACTTAATTGGGCCTCACATATTGACTACCTCTGTTCCAAGCTCTCCACTCAGGTGTACATACTCAGACTACTTAGCCGATGTCTTAGTGGTCATACACTGAGGGTTGTATATTATAGCATTTTTCACAGTCACCTGTCCTATGGTACTGTTCTTTGGGGTAACTCGGTTACTGCAAACAAAATATTCGTATTACAGAAGTCGGCAATAAGGATATTAACGAATTCCAAATTTCGAGCTACTTGTAGAGACCTATTTAAGAATAGTCGGATACTGCCTTTAGCGTCAATCTATATCTACGAGTCATTGCGATACATTCACGCTA